CAAAAAATATATTCAATAATTAATCTAGTAATAAGTATTGTACCTAAACATTATTAATTTTTTTGTAAATATCTGATTAAAGTTAAGAACATTTAACTTCTAAAAAAGTGTATTTTTAAATAAATAAATAAATAAAGTGTATTTTGAGAGGGAGAGAGTAGGATGGTGGTGATTGGTTGGTCAGACAGACTATTACGATTCCCTATAAACTCTCTTTCCCGGTGAGACCCGAGCAGTCTCTGTCTTTCATGTCCCCACCCGCCCAGACGCCCACAGCCCACAGGCAGGCAGCATCTGAGCATCATCACCAATTCAAAGAAAACGATATTTTAATATTATATCTTCACTTTGTGCCTGCTCACCTCCTCTGACCAAATCTCCTCCATTCCCAATCAAAGATTTTCCTGCAAAGAGGAATACGATTCACCTCAGCTCCACCACCGGAAACCACCAAAAACAAGATCTTGCAGCTAGGCAGCACCGGAGTCAACTCAGCAGTGAAGCAAAGCAGGCTCTCCCAGCCGGTCAGCAGCCATGAGTACCATGAAGTTTTGCCGTGAATGGTAAGCCGCTGACGACGACGACCGCTGCTGATGCTGCTGCCTGATCGCTTCCTTTTTCACCTGCTCTGCTCTGCTCTACTGACGGCACCCTCTCTTTCTTGGCATGGCAGCAACAACATCCTGTACCCCAAGGAGGACCGGGAGCAGAAGGTGCTCCTCTACGCCTGCCGGAACTGCGACCACCAGGTTCCATTCCTTCGCCGATCCATCAGCCTCGTCTCGGATCCATTCGGATCTCTCTCTGAAGCATATGCATATCTCTTGTTCTTCCATCTCTACCTGTTTCTAGATTCCTGACGTGGTTTAGTCATTTTGAAATGCTCTGCTGGGACCGCCGCACCGCAGGAGGTCGCCGACAACAACTGCGTGTACCGGAACGTGGTGCACCACAGCGCCGGGGAGTTCACCCAGGTGCTCCAGGACGTCGCCGGCGACCCCACGCTGCCCCGCACCAAGTCGGTGCGCTGCGCCTCCTGCGGCCACGGCGAGGCCGTCTTCTTCCAGGTCGCTCACCTCCTCCTCCTCCGCCTCCTTCTCAAGAGCTAGCAATAGCATCGTCTTCTTCATAGACCATGAGTGAGAAACTTCTGACAAGGAGCTCACCATGGTTCTTTTGCCCTGGCACTGCAGGCGACTGCAAGAGGCGAGGAAGGGATGACGCTCTTCTTTGTCTGCTGCAACCCGAGCTGCGGCAACCGCTGGAGAGAATAAAGGCGCTGATCGATTCAGCAAGACGTACGATTCTTCTGGTGCAACAGCCAGGACGACATGATGATTTTTGGAAAATTTCATCCCAGAGACCTGCTGCCCATATTGGCATGTGAACTGGTTGTATTGTATGTTCCGAGTGCGTTCAGGCACTAGACATTTTTTCAATAACTTCAGCAGGGTAAACTTACCTGTGGTCCATTCATTTGCATCAAAGAAAGGATGAGATGAGGAATTTTTTTTGTCGATGTTCTAATGTTTCCCTCTGCAGTTCTGTGGTAGCTTCAGTTGTGGACTTGTGGTGAACCTTAAGAGGAATCGTCTATTAAGGTTTCATCCACTCAAGCAAATTAACCTTGAGCTGCAGAAATTAGTTAGAGACATACAGTTGATTTGCAATGGCTGTTCTGTACTCAGTTGACATGGCACACACACGGTTATGCGAGTTTTTTCCCCCCTGAGGACAGAACAGCCACGGCAAATCAACTAACCAATTTCTGCAGCTCATGGTTATGCAAGTTTTTTTATAAACTTCTTCAGCAGCCATGTGCTTAATTGATTTTCAGCTCACTCAAATGGACATCCAAACCAAGAACTAGCTCAGGTGCAGAACTGCATTTGAGATACTGAAAATTCCCATTCTGTTGCCTCCCTTTCAAGAGCAACTTTAGATGTGGATCTCAAATTTTCTGGATGTCTTGTTGAATGACCAAATAAATATCCATGGTACAACATGTTTGCATGCATTTGCATACTCAAAATTTGAAACAATATTACAACAAACAACTCAATATCTCTACAGTACAAATGCTACAATTACAGTCTGAAATAAAACTGTGCTACAAGCCTGTAACAGTCAACACAGTATTTGTGATATCCTATCCACGGCGTAAAGATTTTGATAAGCATCCCCACAATAAAGAAAGGCACTTGATAGTGCCCTTTCCCAATGCTACGCCCAGAAAAGGGTTTCAAGAGATGATGCTTTTGGCCGTTCAGAGTTACATCCTTGGTGGATATTTCAGTGTCAACTGGAGCATCGTGCATCACAATAAGATCAAGGGAACTTTATTCCATTGTTGATATACAATCTTTTGCCCATGAAGGGAGAGGTGACCGGAAAGTGATGGGCAATCCAGTGATAGGGTGTACAAATGACAAGCTCTCTGCATGCAATGCATGGCCATCACACTCTACGCCGTTCCACTCAATCACCCCACCGTATTTCACATCACCTCTGATTGGGAAACCAAGATACTGGCAGTGTAGACGAATCTGATGTGTCCGTCCACTTTGAGGATAGACTCTAACCAAAATAGCACTGTTGTTCACATCACCGCTACAAGTCTGGTCAGCTGCCTTTTCTTGTACAGTAATTGACTCGATATCATCGGTGCAAAAGTTGTTGGGTTCTCTAAACTGCCCTTTACCATTGACCCCTAAAACTTGAAACTGTGTGCTCATGTCCCTTACAACAGAACCACCTGGCAGTGAACAGCCAACATCAGACATAGCATATACACGCCAAGCACCATGTTTTGATCGCCCATGACCAGAACATATCTTAATCTTTTCCCATGTCGGTGGGCAACCTATGCAAAGAGCTAGATATGTTTTCTTGACTTTATGATCAGTGAATGCCTTCACTAGCTTCCCAGCAACTTTGTTGCATTTGGTGATAACCATGAGCCCACTGGTATCACGATCCAGCCTGTTTGCAAGGTGAAGATTAGGTTTAATTGCTGGATCCTCTGCAAGTCGCAATAGTCAGAACTTAGTGAAGCAAGAACAATACTAATGTAAAGAAAAACAATTCAATTGTGGCTTCAAATAATGAAATCTAGATGATAAATAAAAAAAGCACACTGATATTATTATGTAGCAGGTTACTTAAGTATCAAACTTTTACTTTCTGACAAAAGACAGGCAGATCAGAAGTGTTGTTTCCACACCTCAGCCTGTCCAGAAGTTACAACTATAGTCCTAAAGTAGCCAGACAACTAATTCCATACGCTTTGGGAGACAAGGCAAGAAACAAATATCAAACCTTGAATATTGTATTCAATTCAAAAACTCCCAAAAATAAATGAAGAGTTGCGCAAACAAATTCTAAATGATAAAACTATAGAGCTTCATATGATCCATTATTAAAACTTGTGCTCAGTAGAATCCTACGGCCATTAGTTTGCACTGATATTGCTTGCAGACAATAAGAAACTCAAGCAAAGTTTAAAAAAAAACAGGGGTTCAAGACAATAATATATCAGTCCGACAGTCCGCACAGCTGTATGATGTATCACGTATGCCCTTCTGCTTCTACATCTGCTGAACATAATTCTAGTTCTAGAATAAGGGCCTGTTTGGATCCCAGGGCTTAAAATTAGCCCACCTTGTGAAAATGGATTAAGCATGAGCTAATTATAGGCTAATAAGGGCTAATGGACTCTAACCAGTAATTAGCCCTCATTAGCTCTTATTAGCCCAAAATTAGCCCACATTTAGGCTTTCTAATTGGTATAAAAAACATGGGCTAATTATAAGTATTACTTATGGGAAATGGATTCTAAAGCCATTTCTTTTTGCGGAGGAAGCTCAAATATACACATTGTATTTTTTTTTATCATCATAGCATACCATACTTTCAGTGCTGGACGCTCACTTGCTAGTAGGAATTGTTAAACTAGTCCATTAAGATAGCATTATACAAGCTTAGATCATTTGGGAATAGAATGAGAATCAACACTTTGTCAAAATTACAGATTGACTTATGCCTGTGGTAGTGTAATGAAACGCAAAATTGCAAAATTTGTCAAAACACATTCTACATTGTAATGCTCCTAAATAGCTTCCAATGCACACTTTGCACTCATTCCTTTGCACTGATCACATAGCCTGTATGTCCTAACCAAACCAAGTATTGAGCAATGGCATTGCCATCAGTAAAATAACATTAGACAACACGTTGTATTGCACACAGATCACAAACTACCTAAAATCCGTCAATTTCGTCATCCAAATGATCGATATCACTGACACTGGATGATCAAAGTATGAAATCACAAGCAATGATCTATGCAGAATCGCATTTTGCAAACTGTAGCAGCGCCATTGTCACCTAAAAGCAGATTCTTTTTAAGTTCAATCTTTTTTTACCTGAAATGGCAGAGCAAGGAAAGGAGGTGAGGAGGGCGTCGCAGTAGACGCCGGCGGGCTTGTCGACGACGGCGAGCCACTCGTCCTCGAACACGACGTCCGCAGAGGCGAAGGCGGCGGAGCGCGCGGAGGCGGTCATGGCGCGCCGGAGCTCCACGTCCTTGGAGGCGGCCGGGTAGGGCGGGGACACCGGGGAAGGATACTCTCCGCTCGACGGCGCCGTCGACGTAGTCGCTGACATCGCCGTGAGGCGGCGCGCCGGTGGCAGGAGGGAGCGGAGCGGGGAGGCGGCGCCGGCAGGAGGCTGGAGAAGGAGAAGGGACAGGGGTAGTTTCGTCATTGAGGTAAAAATACGGTAGCACTTGAGTATCTCGTGTTTGTCATCTCATTAAAAAAAGAGAGAAAGAAACCAAACCCTCGCCTGTCGCCTCCGCCGTGGGCGCCGGCGGCTTTCCCGGATCTCCGGTGAGATCCCGGGGTAGAGGGATCCTCCCGCGAGCCTGGAGCCTCTGGGGTTCGGGGTTTTCCGGGCAATTTGGGTAGTGGCGGTGGTTGGCAATTTGGGGGTGGAGGAGGATGCGGGCGTCGTCGTCGTCGTCCAACGTGGGTATTCGCCTCCCTTCCCCTTCCAATCTCCTCCGCTGTTCTCGGGGTGCTTCTTCTGGGACTTTTATACTGCGCTTTACATCACTTGTTGTATGAATTGTGATGATGTACTTGTCGCTCTTCTGGGCTGTCCGATTCATGAGTTGCCATTCAGGTGGCTGCATTGTATATCAATTTGTTATTCAGGTGGCAAGCCTGTAACTGAGTAAATTTTAACTGCTTAGGTTATGGCCATCGAGTTGTCATGAGCCATCCATTGTGTTTTCCATGAGAACTCGAATATCAATTTGTTATTTGGTATGATAGAGGGCTTGACGGAGGAGCCACATGATTTTCCCCTCTCTATTTCTATTTAACATAGAAGTTCCTATGCAGGCTCTAGTGTCCATGCCTATAAAACAATGTAGAGTTTAGGCTTTTATGTTCATGTATATAGATGTCTTTGATCACATTTACTTGATTTATGGAGAATGCTAAACTTTTAAATTTTGATTTCAGGAGGACATGATGATGGTGGAGTTAAGCAAAGTTCTGAGAACTCCTGTTGCGGAGATAAGTTCCAAGAGGGAGTTCTTTGGTGCACCTCAACAGGAAGTGGAGTAAGCACCTGTCTTACCTGAACAGCCTACAAGCACTGCATCGCATTAAGCAAACAGATTATTCTCTGTATCTGGACATTGTTCGGTTTGGCTTTTATTGTTAACAGTAGAGAGCTTATTTATATGGTACACCAATTGTTTTGATGCTATATAGCATTATCAATTTTGACGCTCTAATACATCAAAATGTCCAAGGCTTTTGTTGTTATAATAGGGTGCATGTTAGATTTGTCACTAGAAGCGTATTAATAGAGTTTCCAGTTTTCTTTTGAGCTTACCCTATAGCAATGAATAATTCATATTGACATGCAGAAAGAAGGCATACTCACAGGAAGGATGTGCTCATGTAAAGGAGTTGCAGGAAGGAGGTTTTCAAACAAAGGAGACGTACACAATAGGTCCTAATGCAAAGAAGTTGCATTTAGCAGCTGCTAATGCTAAGAAGTCATGTGCAGCACCTAGCCACAGTCCTACTGTGCTACTTCAGGGAAATGTAGATTCTACTTTGATGGATGATGAGGGCATTTCCGTGGATGATGAAGTCCTTGTGGATATTGAGCTGAGGGCTGAAGCTGATGCACAGGAAGCAGCCAGAAAGACTCAAAGTGAGGAATCTTTAGTTGATCCTATTTTTTATGCTGACACTTCCACTGCACAAATTCCAGTTGATGATTATGCAGATGTTAAGTTCAACATTGTGTATGACAATGAAAATCCAAGGATCAAAGTAAATGAATATTTCCCTTCGATGGAGAACTTCAGGATGGCACTGAGACAGCATGGAATAAAGAAGGGGTTTCAGGTGCACAAAATCAAGACGGATAAGACTAGGTATAGAGCTGAGTGCAAGGCAGAAGGCTGTCCATGGAGAATTGTGGCACGCAAATTGCGGGACGGACCAACTGTTGTGGTACTACTCTAACCTGCCTAACTTGTTAACTTGCTTAATGTTAGTAACTTGTCTAATTTGTTTTGTGTTTCTGTTTCCTGTATTGCAGATTAGCATGATGCCTCAAGAGCACAATTGCATATCTACTAGTAACCCTGTTACCTCAATGGCATCACAAAGCTGGGTTGCAGAGATGGCTGCTGATTGGTTGAGGGAGAGTCCAGAACTAGGAGCAAAAGAGTTGCAAGAGAAACTGCAGGAGGTGTATAGTGTAGAGGTTAGCTATGCTACAGTATGGGGTGGAAGACAGAAAGCAATGAACAAGATTTTTCAATCTTGGGAAGACACTTTTCAGACATTGTACAATTTCAGGGCTGAACTTCTTTCCTTGTCTCCGGGCTCAGTTGTGGAGATTTGCACTAAGATATGTGGAGATGATGTCCACTTCGACAAGCTTTTCTTTGCTCTGGAGCAATGCATAGATGGCTTCAAAACAGGCTGTAGACCTGACATTGCACTCAACTACACAGACTTGGCTGGCATCTACTCAGGGAAATTAGCATGTGCTTGTGCGCTTGATGGTCACAATTGGATGTACCCTGTCGCATGGGCCATTTTTGACTCTACTTCAAATGATAACTGGACTTGGTTCATGGAGCAATTGAAGAAGGCTATAGGGAATCTACCAGGATTAACAATTTCTGCTGATGTTGGTGATAATAATCTAACTGAAAGTTTCTTAGAATGGACTCTGAACATAAAGGGCATGCCTTTGGTTGACTTGATTGATAAGTTGAGGCAGATGACAATGGGGGTTTGGTACAAAAGGAGGTGTATTGGAAGCAAGCTCTCTGGCCATATTCTCCCTGCAGTTATCCAACAACTTAATACACAAATAAGGAGTTTGAGAAACATCAAGGTCTCTAAATGCGGGTTGCAGACCGGTGAAGTTTCTGGCAGCTCTCAGGACATGGTGCCATGGAGGCACGTGGTGGACTTGGACAAGCACACCTGCAGCTGCGGGGAGTGGCAACTAACCAAGAAGCCCTGCCTCCATGCTCTGGCATGGATAACCACGGAGACAAATGCTGACGTGGAATCCTTTGTCCATGACTACTACTCTGTTGAGTGGTTTAGGGCTGCATATAGCGGTATAGTTCCACCCATGACAGACAAGTCGCAGTGGCCTCAGGTGGACCCTGGTTTCAAGCTGCTGGCACCGCAGTTGAAGTCAGGACTTGGGAAGAGGAAGTACACAACCAAGACAAGCGAGGAACCATGCGCTAGTAAACAGTGTGGAGAAATTGAACATCGTGAGAAGGGTTGCACGCTGCATTGCCCGAAGAAGAGGTTGGTGCACTAACTTGATGTTTTTTTCTCCTGTACATGCTTTATGTGAGAAATGCAACTGGCATTTTTTTGTTGCAGGAAGAGATGCCAAGCTGAAGAGGGCAGGAAGGTTGAGTACGACGCTAACTGATCATCTCTTGGAACCATGCATCACTATGGGACGGTAGATCTATCAAGGGAGGTGAAGATGCTCTGCGGTCATCGGTCTACCACAACTAGGCACCTATTTTGTAGTTGGTCCCAGGAAGGAGGATTTAGGAGCTGAGGACTTCATCTGTGGCTGCCTGTGTATGCATGGTTAAACTAACCAAGGACGGGGCCTGTAACGTGCTAAGCATGTTTTGCATTGGAAACTGTTTTAATGGCGCGGTAAATGTCATGAATCTGTGCTAGGCATTTGCTCCGTGCAAATATGATGTCAACGCCCGACCATTAAATTGCATAGGGGAGGCTCTTCTCAGGCGCGGCCTTGGCTCTTTGGTTGCTGCCTTCTGCTCATGTTGGTTGTGGGGGTTAAAGCCTTAAAGGTAGTAGCTGTGTTTGTTGCTGTGCTTGGATTTTTTTTATTACTCATTCATTGGGTTCATTTTGCATTCTCTGATTTCTCCTTGCTTTGTTCTGTGCAGCAGGATGGCTAGCAGCAGGAGCCAGCTGAGCCGGGCATGCAGGAACTGGAGGCCAAGCACTGGTCGATCCAGATGCGTAGGAGCCAAAGGCTTTTGAGAGAGCCTCTGCCTACCTTCGCATTTGTCATTTGTTTGGGTCATTCTCGTGTCATTCGGTGTTTCAGGTTAGGGATGCGGGCTAGATATAGCTTTCCTTTGCCATAGTGGACAGGTTGACAGCATTACCAATCCCATCCCCCCCCTAACTTAAAACATAAATTGCATGCATATTTTGATGTCATGCCAAAGATTCAAATATTACGGATAGAACTCCCTACTGCTGCTGCTAATTGCCATGGGATATAGGCATATGGTACTCCCTTCGTAATGAATGCGGTACCATTAGCGGCAGGTAGAACCTGACGGTACTCATGGTTTGCTGCTGCACCTGCCTATTTCAGACCTTGAGCTCCAGCCTCCAGGTGTTGAGTTGCAGTACCCGTTTATTATAGGGCCGGACAAAATACTCGCGGCTCGTCAACTCGCTCGACTCGTGGCCGGTTCGATTCGGTTCGTTTTAACTTTTTCACAAGTTGAGCTGGAAGTCTAGCTTGATATTTTAACGAGCCAGCTTGAGCCAGCTTACGAGCTAAAACGAGCTGATGCCTATTAGCCCACGACCATAAATCTAGAAGATGATGATGCTAACCTAAAAGTGTACACCTATTCTATTGGTATATAATTCTTATTTTTAGCTGTTTCATATGAATTTTAATTTTATAATTGTTGTGGTAGTTAAATGTTGGTTTTATAGATTATTTTCTATAGAGAAGATGATGATACTGACATTGAATCTATGGACTTTTCTAAGTTTGTGGTGGCAAGCAACTAGTTAGTATGCTGGAATTGCATGATCATGGATGGACCAGCTATGTTGCATGGTTGATACTTTTGATGAACCTGATATGTATTAATCATGTATAGTTGCATAATAGTGGACGTCACATTCTAAAATTAATGTAGCATAAATATTATAAACATGTGTGTCCTATTTTTTTATTAGCTCACGAGCTAAACGAGCCGAGCCGAGCTGTCCCTCTAGCTCGTAATATTAACGAGCCGAGTTGAGCTGGCTCGTTAGCCTAACGAGCCAGCTCGAGCTGGACCGAGCCGAGGCTCGATATCCAGACCTAGTTTGGTACCAAATGTCTCGGCATGGTGCAGGATGAACATTCTCACGTTTATATCAGAAAACACTTGAAAGGATCAACTCACAAGCCGTCCAAAAGAGATCGGCACACATGTATGCATTTGGAGGATCTGAGAGTCGGACAGTTTGGAAAAGAACAACCTAGATGTATATGGTATATACTAGAAAGCATCTAGGCCTCTAGTTGGATTCGGTGATTAATGACGACACAAGATTACTGTGACTAACATGTGTTTTGCAGAGGTAATTTGAGTTAGGTCATGGTAATGGTGATTGATTGGGCAATTATGGTTTTCATGCCATGTCGATGGAAATCGTTTCGGTTTTCAAAGGATGAATGACAAGGTTAAGGACGGACTAGTTCTAAGTGTCGTTTGGCGTTGGAGAGACACTTAGAATAGTTTAGGACTTTGTTTTTTTCTTTGGTCGTACTATTAAGGGGGATATGAACTACTAGATTGACCTAGGTGAGTCTAATATGTTAAGTGTGGTACACACTTGTCAAACTTAGCACTAGGTAGCTCAGGGACAACCCAAAGATCAATTGAAGTCAACTTCATTCACAGAGATTGTTGATTTGGAAGTGATTTGAAGCAAGATAGGAGGACCGGACGCATGGTGATGCCCTGACCGGACTCGGTCCTAGTGAGTTTGGTCAGTTGATGGGGCGCGCTGCGGGGGCAGAAGGACGACCGAACGCTGGCGCAGATGCCGCCAACTATAGCCGCGAGGTCTCTGTACTAAGAGGGACCAGACGCTGAGAAGAAATAGTGACTGGACGCGCGCGCGTGTGAGTCCGGTCAACAACAGAATGCATCCAGATAGGGTTTTCGGGGACCTGACGCGTCAGGTCAGGGTGACTCCGCGGTGAGTCCGATCACTCTAACGGTCGACTGTTTACGCTGGCGAGTTTCTAGGCGTGGTGTACTGACCGGCGTGTCCGGTCACCCCAAAAGTTGCTGAGTTGGACCCCAACAGTCATGTTTTGAATAGGGGTGTATAAATACATCTCCCACTCGTTCATTTCACCTCTCTTGCCCATTTGTTCAGCTGAGAAAACACTTTGGAGTGCAAGGGAGAGCAAGAGCCTAGTGAGGCGATTAAGATTTGATAATCCAAGATTAAGGACCTCATTAGTGCATAGGGAGTAGCAAGTATGCATTCACCTTTCTCATTAGGCTTGTCTTGGTCAAGTAAGAGTTTGTGCTTGTTACTCTTGGTGATCGCCATCATCTAGATGGCTCGGTGGTGATTGGAAGCTTGGTAATCATCCGGCAGAGCTTGTGGATGACACAAGCCATGGTGTGAGCGGTTGTGGACAATTCACCGTGACGAAGTGTCAAAAAATCAGTCCGTAGAGAGCACTTAATCCTTACGTGGATCAATGGGGAGCTATACACTTGCACGGGTGCTCCAACAAGGACTAGTGGGGAGTGGCAACTCTTCGATACCTTGGAAAAATATCGCCGCGTTCTTCTCCCTCTCTTTACTTTGAGCATTTACATTTGAAAAATTCAATTCTTGTCTTTACATTCTTAGAATTGTCATGCTAGAGTAGGATTGGAACATCGGGTGCAAAACTTTTGTGCGGTAGAACAATAAAAACACTTTTAGGTACGAGGGGGTGAAATGGGCTAAGTGTTGGGCTTAATTATTGTAAGAAATTTAGAATTAACCCAATTCACCCCCTCTCTTGGGCATCTTGATCCTTTCAATTGGCATCGGAGCCAAGTGCTGCTAAATTAGGCTTAACCGTATGGAGCAAGATGTCCCATGGGGATGGATCCCCTCCCTTCTTTGAAGAAGATGATTTTCCTTATTGAAAAATTCATATGGAGGTGTATCTATAGGCTATAGATGTTGGAGTGCTTAGAGCCACCACACAAGGATTCCCAAAACCCGAGGACCCCGCCAACCCCATTGGTGATGAGGCAAATTACGAGAAGTGGAATACAAAGGACAAAAACACCCTCTTTAGAGGCCTTTGCAAGGATGTCTTTTACCACCCTCTCCTATCATTAATCATTACTTATCATATACAATTATCTCTTGACTTACCCCTGTTGTAAGTAGAAGTTTGGTTATGTTTTATCTCTCTATCTTGCATATAAGTTATCAATATATTCCAACTGCCCGTCTTTCCTTGTGGTAAAAATATAAATAACGATACCTGGAATACTCCCAGGTGAAGTGCTACAATGGTATATTATTTGTGCGCTTGCAGATCCCTATCATTCACACATTTATTCTTTCAAGTCACGAGTAAATGCCAATAAGCACTTTTGGCGTCGTTGCTAGAAATTAAATTCAAAACCTTGTTCTTAGTAGCGACGTTAAGAAATGCTAACAAGCATTTCTAGCGCCGTTGCCGGGAAGGTAGCTAGGCAAAAAGGAAATATTGATAAACTTATACTTATTGATGTGACCGAGATAACCATTTACCTCTGCTCAAACAAGCTTACCCTTGCTCTGTCTACTTTTATATCTTATGCAGGGTAATGTATGACCGGTTTTGACCTTTCGATAAACTACATTGAAGATCCAGAAGCATTAATCAGGAGAACTAGAGCTAAACTCAAGAAAGTTCCAGCTTTAGATTCAGAGGACAACCAGACAAGGCGGAGCTTAACACCAGTTTTTTGAAGCCATGGCTAACAAGACCCTCCGTGAGTTCTCTGCTCTAACTACGGTCAATATCCGTACTGGACCGGCGACCAATGTCGGAGACAATAGATTTGAACTCAAGCCAGCTATCATCAACATGGTGCAAGCTAGCTAGTTTTGTGGAAAGGCACATGAAGATGCGAGTGCTCATCTCCAACACTTATTGAAGATCTGTAGCACTTTCACCATTAAAGGAGTATCCAGAGACGCCATACTACTTCACCTCTTCTCATTCTCACTCTTGGGGAAGGTGAAGCAATGGTTCTACACCAACAAAGATAGAAATACTACATGAGATAACTGATCCATTGCCTTTCTAGCGAAGTTATTTCCCCACGGGTAAGACTAATGCTCTGCATGGAAGAATTTTAAGCTTTCAGCAACAACATGATGAATCTGCTCCTAAGGCATGGGAACGCTTTCAAGACTATATAGCAGAATGTCCTCATCATGGGATAGAGAATTGGCTACTCATGCAGACTTTCTACCACGGGTTGACCAATAGCACCCATGAGAATATGGATGCTATTGTTGGAGGTGCATTCCTGTCACTCACAATCCCAGGTGCAACAGCTCTCGTAGAAAAGATGGCCTCCAACCAAGGTTAGAATGAAGAACGTCTTTCGACCCGCAAGAGAGGTGGAGGTATGC